CTGAGCTGCACCACTGCCCCCCTTCCTGCTGGGCTGACACCCTTCCTGCTGGGAGAAGGAAGGCAGAGCAGCAGCCTGGTTACACAAACACAACCCCAGGAACAAGATGAAGGTGAAAAAAGCAGAAGTTGTTCTGAGCTGGGCTGTTCAGAGGGCTGGGTCAGGCAGCTCAGGACAGGGAACTTCTGCAAAGCTTTCTACAGCTGCTTTCATTCCCAAATCCAGCAAGAGAAAGAGAAAGGCTGATGCCCTTTCTATACATAGAATCACAGAACCTCATAGAATCATAGAATCACAGAATCATAGAGGTTGCAAGGGACCTCTGAAGATCAAGTCCAAACCCCTGCTGCAGCAGGAACACCCAGGGCAGGTCACACAGGAACATGTCCAGACGGGTCTGAAAGCCTCCAGAGAAGGAGACTCCACAACCTCTCTGGGCAGCCTGTCCCATTCCCCTGGTTTCTGAAACAGCACCTGAACACAGACACAGCAGCACCCACCCCAGGCACAACAGAATCACCAAGGAGGGACAAATCTCTTCTTTCTCTCTGGCCAAAGAGCCATGCTGCTCACAGGTAAAGTACCACAAGATGACAACTTGATGTTACCGGTGATTTCTATCATTTCACAGTTTCTGTGTAGCTCAATGGGGACACCTGTGTGGCTGCTGGCAAATCCAACATCTCTAGACAACATTTCAGAGGCTGTTTCAAGAGCCCTGGCACAGAGATGCTTGCACTTTCACCCACAGCAAGAAGCTCCTTATGTTGTCAATAACTTCTATAAAATACTTCTTTATTAAAACAAGAGGAAAGTCAGGGCCTAGGATTTGATAACAAACGTTTTGCAGGTCCATTGGTAGAGGTCAAAAGCCCAGAGGCCAAACAAGGGAGCTGCTGTGCCAACCTTATCTCCAGAGGACGTGGGATCAGGCGCCTCCTCCTCTCCCGACTCCCAGTGTGCCCATTGTGTCCCAGACAACACTGCCTTTCATCTGCCCCAGCAGAGGCTCTGCAAGCAGCTCATCATCCCACCCAGGCACAGCAAGGGGAAAATTCAGCAGCAGGAAGAGGGGTGACAGCCCCTCCTATCACCTTCCATCAACACAGGCCCTTCCTTTCGCTAAACCCAGGGCAGATCCTCGGCCTGGTATGCTCAACCAGTTTTTGCTGGTGGAAAAAAGGGCTGGATGAAAAGAAGAAAGAAGAAAAAAACCACAAACACCAAACCACAGAGGGAAGCCAGTTCCTCCCCCCTCATTTAGCATGTAAGAACCAAGCCAGACTCTCCCTGGGCCAGGTGGAGCTTAACTCCAGCTCCTGGGGCAGGAGCCAGATGAAAGGTGTGGGGCAGGGACCCGTGATGATGAGCTCTCCTCTCTGTGCCAGCTACCTGCAAAACCTGAAGTGGCTGAAAAGACCAACCCACCTTCAGGATTAGTCAGCCCTGGGTTAGACTGACACACGGGCAAGGCCCTGATGAGCACACTGGGAGGTTAAAAACATTCCTCCTTCCTTCTGTGGCAGCAGTGTTCTGCCCGGGACACCCTCCTGGAGATCTCAGCAGGCCTTCTCCACTCCCAGCAGCACCAACAGCACAGCCCTGGCCAGGACCCAGCCGAGGGCCAGGGACCCCCTGCCCTTCCTTTCTCCCCTTCCTGTCCTAAAACACCACATTTTGCACCAGCAAGGAAGGGATGTTCCTCTGCAAAAAAAGACTGGACTAGATGATCCTTGAGGTTCTTTCCGACCTGGCATTCTGTGATTCTGTGTCTGGGCTAGACAGCAGAAAACCCTCAACTTGAGCAAGAGGTCTGGCTCCTGGTATGCAGGGACCACCCTGCCCTAACCCAGCAACTGCTGTCGCCTCTGGTGACAACATGACAGAAAAGGCCATTTTGGCACAGCAAGTGAGTTCTCCAGGCTGCAGTGAATATTTTTCTGTCTACATTTTCAGATAACGGGATCTGCAGGTTGAGGGAGGGGACTGTCCCCTCTCCTTCACTTTGGTGAGACCCCCATGCAGGGCTGGGTCCAGCTCTGGGGTCCCCAACACCAGAAGGACATGGAGCTGATGGAGCGAGTCCCAAAGGATGCCACAGAGATGATCCCAGGGCTGGAGCAGCTCTGCTCTGGAGCCAGGCTGGGAGAGCTGGGGTGTTCAGCCTGGAGAAGAGAAGGCTCCAGGGAGACCTTAGAGCAGCTTCCAGTGCCTGAAGGGGCTCCAGGAAAGCTGGGGAGGGGCTTGGGACAAGGGCAGGGAGGGA